GTGAAAACTGAGTTCAGTGAAGTGAGTTATTTGAACAAGGTCTCAGAGCTGCTATGTGGTAGAGATGGGAGCCTTCTCATATGAGAATCCACCTATAACTCATGTTCCTGCAAAATAAATGTCCTGTTCTTTTTTTCAGATAGCTTCTTTACAGGAACTGTGTTACATGAAAAAGCCTGATAGTGTGGTCTCAGTTCACTTTTTTTTTAAAAGATTTATTTATGCATGCAAGAACTGGGGTACAGGCCAGAGGTGCAGGGGGTGAGAGGACTTGCCAGAGACAGAGTGGGGAGCAGAACAGGCTGACTGCAATACACTGCTGAGGGAAGCAGTGGGGAGACAGGAGAGGTCTGCTACGCCATGTGGGTCACCTCCCTGGCCATATGGGGATCAAACTCTTGCTGCAGAGGCTGCAGATAGCTTCACAGTGTTGTGTTTAACCCCTTGCACCACCAAGAAAGCCCCTCAGTTCCGATCCTGCTTAGTAGTCATCCTATTTGACTCTACATGGTGTTTATTTACTTCCTAAATCCCAAACAACTCCTAGTGGATCTGACCTCACAAAGTGTTACCAGGCAAGGAGAGGGGCACCCCAGAACCCTTAAACCTTCCTGCTCTAAATAGGTTCTGCCATCTGCCATATCAAGACAAAACACTCTAGTACATAAGACCATTATTGGAAAGGGGCTTCAATACAATTAATGTGCAAAAGACGGGGGGAAAAATAGGTAAGTTTCCAAATCAAGCATCTAAAATTACTGACCCCCTTATGGGTAAATGCCCAGCCAAAAGGACATATACTATGAGAATAAGATCTAGGAAGACTCTCCAAATCCGAGATCCCAGCCTTTGGGAATTTCTGGGCTGCCTCCCCATCTCCCACTTTTTTCCTCTTCCAGGTGACTAATTTAGAGATGTAATTGAGTTGTGGAATGAAAAGAGGGGTATTTATTATCATACTTCATATAAAAAGGGAGGTCAGAGGGAACTTGTGCAGGTTAATTATTCACTAGACGTCAAGGGCTTTATCCAGAACTTCTCATGTCACTTCACGGAATAAGTGGTAGCGTAGTTTTATTATAGCCCTGATTTTGCAGATGAGAAGACAAGGCTAGTAAGTGATACAGGAGAGATACAAATCCAGGTCTAGGTAACACAAAGCATCTTCTCTTCCCACATGCCCCATGGCTCCTGTTCCAGGAAGGGCCTGGGTACCTTTAATGAAGACTATCATTCCATCCCATCAGATCTGGAGGCTGGCTGGCGCTGCTGGGTGGAGCACCCCACCTCCCCACCCCCACTCTCCCACCCTCCTACATGTCAGGCACCTTGTTGGGCACATGGGCGAGGGTGAAGCCTCCAGCCACAAATAACACTCAGCCAATTCCCGGGGACAATGGCATCAGTCATGCCACCACTATTCATAAAAACGCCACCACTCATCTTACTGCCCCTTTACAAGGAGATGAAGGTCCACTGTCACCCGGCCGACAGAGCTTGGCTTGTAAGACAGGCCGAGCCGTCCTTGACGGGACAATGACAAGGATGATGTGTGCTTTTTCCAAAGCTGGGCACGCGCAAGTACAACAAGGGGGTGTGTATGTTCCTGGCTCTGAAAAGGATGATGTATATTTCTGAGCAGTCGCACATGAAGAAATCCAGCTTTTAAGTTTTGCCCATGTCAGACTCTTCCCTTTCTGATAGCCAGGAATGGCTGTCAGGGTATTTGAGAAAAGGAGAGGTACAGGGCCTCCCCTGGTGGCACAGCGGTTGAGCACTGGGCTGCGAAGCTGCCCATAGCCTCTGCAGCGCCAATTGGATCCCTGGCTGCTGGCGAGGGTCCCACATGGCACGACAGACCTCTTCTGTCGCGCCCACTGCTCCCCTCAGCAGTGTATTTCGTCAGTCTGCCTGCTCTGCTCCCCGCTCTGTCTCTGGTGAATTCTCTCACCCTCCCACACTTCTGACTCTACCCAGTGCTTGTAGAAATAAATAAATAAATCTTGGAAAAAAAAAAAGGAGAGGTACAGACGGCTTGCATGGGGCTTGATTTCAAATACGCAGAGGATTATGGCCCGTGAGCCCCAGAAATGGTGGGAAGAGGTGTGACCCTTTGAGACTCTAATTAGAGTCTCAGACCAGTTTAGAGTCGGTATATACTTACCAAGGGACAATATCGCATTCTTTTCTTGGCTGGAGGAGATGGGGAGGCGGAGCAGATATATAACATAATCTTCAAATGAAACAAACAACAATTGATGGCAGCAGTTTGGGCTCTTCAGCGAATTCAATCAGGAAAGAGATCCCTGTACTTTACCATCTCAGTTAGATTAGCTTGTTGTAATAACCTTCTGGGGAGCCGAGCTAGGCACAGCCTCGGCGCCAGCTGGTCATCTTGGCACACCCAACTCTTTCTTTTACCAGTGAATGGCACCCAGGTCTAAGGTGACAGCATCAGTTAAACAGAGAGAATGTTCTGGAACCCAGGCTTGTGGAACTGAGGCATTTATTCACTGACTCTAGGCTTTTAATAATGGCTCATATTTATTGAGTGATTACTATATGCCATGCACAGAGAAGGTGCTGCCAGCCCAGCAGAGGTGACACTTGGAATAGGGGAAGGAGAGAATAAATGCAGAATCCGATTCTGAATTGATCTAGAGTGGATGCAGGTAGGGGTAGCGTGGGGTTATTGAGGCTCAGGCTTCATTAGCCCAAACCAGGAGGGGCCGTATTTATTCCAAGTCAGAGGACTTTCCAGATGCAGGCGGCCTTTTAGTATGCAGAATAAAAGGTTTAGGATTTTCTTCTAGTGCCTCATACACAGATGCCATGGTCTGAACCACCACACGAGCTAGTGACCTCCAGGGACGGGTCTTCAACTGCCTGTCACCGTCTGGCTATCTCCCCTGAACCTCAACCTCCCTGTGCCCTCAGCCAAATTTCCAAAGTGCTAATGAGGAGAAAGTGGGTGCCTCTTTATTTACTTATTTTTTAGACTAGCCCTCCAAGGTGATTTTTCAACACAACACTTTGCCAAGGAAGAGCCTTTTTGCATGCATGTGGCCTCTGCACTTCATTAGCTAGTGGAGATCCCAGTCTATGGACAGTGAGAAGGTCCTCCTGGGGGCACAGCTCAGGTTCAGCGCAGCCAGCAGGTAGACAAAACACCTTGGGTCCCTCATGGCTTTCCTGTCCACAAAGCACTTTCTTACCCACAGCAGCAGCCTTGTGCGGTTGGTGCCCTTCACCTGAAGGAGCTGAGGCCAAGGTCCGGTGGCCCGCAGGTTGTGGGCATGACTCAGCGTCTGTCCTCTTCAGCTCACGTGTCACCTTGTCAGGGGCCTGTCTAGACAGCCCTTCTCTCAGAGCCACGCCACCGCTGTCTTGCTCCGCTCCGTTCTCGCTGTTCTGTTTCTCTGCTGCAAGGAAAAATCTTGCTGGCAGGATTGTGCCTCCAGGGCTCCTGGCCTGTCCTTAGTCTTGGTGGACAGGGAGATGCATTTGCTTTTGACAACTCCGGGCTACTCCTCTGGGCCAAGCCTCCTGCCTCGGGGTATCCCCTCGAAACTGGGGGTACAGCAGGAGAAGGACAACCCTGCAAGAGGGCAGCATGTTGTGGGGGACGCCCCAGGGCCCGCCTTCGCCCTAGGGGGCGCATTTGGGACACCGGCTGGAGGCGGTTGCTTCCCAAAGGCCTGACTACGGCTTCTCCCCGCCCCCCACTTTTAAAAACTAATTTCATCCCAGTCCGTGAGTGGTGAGAAACTACACGGATTCTTCGGGCTGCGTAGATGGAGCTCGAGCTCGTTGGCAAACTCGCCCTCTGCCGGGGCCGAGGAATGAGCAATCTGCGGGTAGTTTCTCCGCAGAAATTTGGCATCTGCTGACGTTGTACAGCACGTACCCCCCGGTACCCCCCGGTACCCCCACCTCGTCTTAGCCCCGGGCTTGAGAGGTCAGAGGCTGGTGTGACCCCCCCACCCCGCGCCGGCCCTGCAGCCCGCGGCCCCAGCGCACTGCACGAACCCGGCGCTTCCACGGGCTTGAGCGCCCCGCGCAGGGAAAGAGGGGGCGCCGGCCGGCCCCAGGCTGAGGCCCCCGAGGCCGCCCCGCCCCCCGGGGCCGCGCTCTCCCGGCCTCGCCTCCTGCCCCCACGCGGGGCTGAAAAAGATCACGCGCAACTTTTGTTGTCCCCCCCCCCCCCCCGCAGAAAGCTCGCGTAAGCAGCCGCTGAAGTAACCGCCCCGGGGGCGGCCGCACGGGGGCCGCGAGCTTCCGGAGCCCCGCGGGCCGCGCGACCCCCCCCACCCCGGGCGCCCCTTTCGGAGCGCGCGGGCTGCGGGCGGCGTGGGCGTGGCGTGGGCGTGACGCGGGCGGCGTGGGCGGGGCGCGAGGTCAGGCCGCGCGGAAGGCGGGGGCGTGGCGCGGGAGGCCAGGCGGCGCGGAAGGCAGGGGCGGGGCGGGGCGCGGGCGGCCGGGGCCGCGCGGGGGGCGGGGGCGGGGCGGGGGCCGCGCGGGGGGGCGGCGGCGCGTGCGCAGAGCACTTCCTTGTTTGTCCCCGTGACCGCCGCCGAGCGCCGCCCGCCCGCCCGCCCGCCCGCCCGCCCGCGCGCGCGCCGCCCGCCAGTCGGTGTCCGCGCCGCCGCCTGTCAGCGCCCGAGGAGGCAGCGCCCGTCGCCCGAGCCGCCCGGCCCGCGGACGCCCCCGCGGCCGGCCGGACCCCGCGCCGCGCCCGACCCCGCGTGAGGAGCCGCCGGCGGCATGAGCGGAGGGAGGCGGGTCCCCGAGAGCCCCCGGCCCGCCGCGCCGCCCCGAGTTTGAGGGGCCCGCGCCGCCGCCGCCCGCCGCCCGCTCTCTCCGCCGCGGGGACGCGCCGCGCCAGGCCGGGCGCCGGGTCGGCTGCGCGGGGGTTCATGAGCCGCCGGGCGGCCCGCGGCCCCGGGAGCCCGCGCCGAGCCTCACCCCCCGCCCCCGCTTGTGTCTCGCCCCCCCGGCAGGATGCCGGACCAGATCTCCGTGTCCGAGTTCATCGCCGAGACCACCGAGGACTACAACTCGCCCACCACGTCCAGCTTCACCACGCGCCTGCACAACTGCAGGAACACCGTCACGCTGCTGGAGGAGGTAGGCGCGCCCCCGCCCCGCCCCGCGCCCCGACCGCGCCCCCGCCCCGGACCCCCCGGCCCCGGGCCCCGGCTCCCGCGCGGGGGCTCGTCCGGACGGCGGCGGGGCCCGGGGGAAAGGGAGTTGGGGGCCGGGGGAGCCACACCCCCTCGGCCCGCCCCCCTCCCCTGCTCCCCGGCGAACGGGGGGCTTGGGGGGTGCAGCCCCGCTGCTCCACTTCCCCGGGCGCCGATCGCACAGGCCTGGGGGCCGGGGGAGGACGGAGAGAGCCTCGGACACCCCGAGGAAGAGGAGGGACGCCCCTCTCTCTGCCTCGCGTCCTTGCTGGGGGCCGGGCGGTCTGCGCGCCTTCCGACCCCTTGTGGCCCCTCCTAACCTGCGAGGTAGGGGTGTCAGGCCCTGGGGGCACAGGGAGGCGACGCGGCGTGGCCAAGGTCACCAGCCAGGCCGGGAGATGGTCAGCGAATGCCCCGCTCCGGCGCCGGCTCTGCCAGGCCGGATTAGCTGCACAGGCCAGCGCCGGTGGAAATATTCCGAGGAATGATGGGGAACTCCTGTGTTCAGGCTTCTTCCCTCCTGGTCTCCGGTACCTCAAGCCCTGTGCCTCAAGCCCTGTGCGGCAAGATAGCTGGACAGGCAGGTCCCTCCTCTGCCCCCCAGCCTGAGTGATGAGAGCCGGAGGCTGCTGCACCAGCCAGCCTGCCCACAGGGCACCCAGACTGAGTGGAGGCCGATGCTGCAGGGAAAAGCTTACCAGTGGGGACAAGGGAGGACCCAGACGGTGCAGAGAACAGCTCTGCTTATCTAGACCCTCCAGGGAAGTGTGTTGTGGGTGACCGGGAGGAGAGGCGGGCTGCGGAAGGCCAAGGGCAAAGTGTTTTCCTTGAAAATTTTAAGTGACTAGCCAGTAGGGTGGGGTGGGTAGGTAAAAAGAAACCCACAATCCCAAGAGCTGCAGAAGCCCCGGTACCTTAATAAATACAGGACGTTTGCCCTGGAACTCTGCACCATCTTTAAGGGCTATAAAGCAGCACTCCCCTTGAAACAAGCCAAATCTATTTCAACTGAAAACGACCGCACTGGGGGAAGTTAGGAAGCAAGATCAATTTCCCTGGGTGGATCGTTGTGTGGTTGGTTTATTTGAGGTTTGGGGAGCTTCTGATTTCAGTTCACCATGGCCAGCTCTCCTTAATGTTCAGACGTTTGGGCTTGTGGTTTAATACTCTTCGGACCCGGTTACACGTTGAACTGGTATTCCAAAGCCCTGGGTTCTAAGTGCTAGGAGGGGAGAGATGTTTGTTGTGGCTCCCATTTTGCCTACCCTGTCTGGTGCTGTGAATTAATCTGAAAATTTATTCCACTTGGTGATACGTCTGTAGTTCTTTCTCAAGTTAGTGTTGGGTGATTGAACTGAAGTTTGAAAAGGTTGGAGCAGTGCCACCTAAACTAGGTTTTTGGAAAGGTAAACAGATTGGGGTTGGGGGGGAGGGGTGGTCTCTGTAAGTCCTTTGCACAATCCCAGCCCTTGGTGTCTGGGATTAGAGAGTGTTGCCAGGACTCTAACCCCAGGATGGATCTGTCCTTCCCTTAATGGTGATAAATTAGGACATGCTGAGACAGGAACATTTTGCATCCTTTTTCTGTACTAATTGTATATGCTTCTAAAGGATGTGACATTGATTAGACTGAGTGGTCATTTTCCTTCTAGATAAGTTCTTCAGGCCCTGCTAATAGAGCTGTCAGTTACTTTAACTTTCCCTTTCTGTGCATTCAGATAATATGACCGTTCTTTTTACGCAAGGTATGATAATGGTAAGTTGGTTATAGTGTCTGTCAGGGCGATGTGAGCATATTTTGCAGCAACTCCAGAGGATAACAGCTGCTCTTGATCTTAATTTGAAGTAACTAAATTTAAAAGCAATGCAACAGAAAGGATTTTTGTGTGAGGAACAGTGTTTTACAAGCTTAGATAGAAAAATAAATCAATCATAACCCAAGTGTGGTCCCATTTGAACTTGAGGAGGAATTGGAGCCAGGCTAGACGGTTGAAAAGGCTCACGTGTTGGAGGACATTGATAACACACATGTTCTCAGAACTACAACAGTGAGTGTTTTATTCGAATGCCATAATGATCTCGTAATTCTTTTTCTGAAGTTGGGTACGGTACCGGTCGAGAAGTCTTTGTCCTCCGTCTGCACATTTTAACTCTTGAGTCATATTTCTTGAGTTTGGACTCAGGAATGGTTGCCTTTTGCTTAAATGTGAAATACTCCTGTTAGCTTCTTCCTGACAGATAATCAGTTGGATGTTATTGTTGGATATTATTCCCCCTCCTCAGCCTACACGTATGGAAGGGGGGGGGTACATTATTATAAATATCTTAAGTGAATCAATTCAAATTTTTAAACAATAAGGCTTTTAAGGTTATTACCCTCAAAATATAGGAAACAATTTTCAGCAAATCGCAAAATGATGTTGGAAGAGACTTCACAAGTGAGATACTTGGAAGCTTTACAGTTGCTGTTTGTGTTATCTTGTGGTTATTCTTAGGCATTAAAAGTTTTGGGTACTTTTTTGGTCGTGTGGAAACTCAGGAACAGGAATCAGCTTCGGCAGCTTGGAGCTCTTTTTATCTTTTTTAAAAATATTTTTCTGGTTCTGGTAATAAAATGCTTTCCTGTTTATTTGCAAATGTGTTTATTCTCTGGATCCCTCATTTTGGATACGTAAATTTTAACTTAAAAACTGTATTAGATCTCCAGCTTGGGAATCCCAGATTTACCCACATTCTTGCATTTGCTCTGTCTCCTTGGCCAGGAGTGTGTTGTGCTTTGTAAATATTGGGGTTTTGGGTTTTTGTTTTTTTGAAGTCCACGATGAGCGCTCTAGGAACTGGGTCAGAAATAGGTGGTAAAAAGAAGCAAAGTTTATTTCTGGACTTCACCTTTCAGGGTCTAGGGTCTCACATGACTGGAGTCGTGGTTTGGCTGGCACACAGGGAGTGGCTGCCGTTGGGAGGCAGGGCTGGATTGGATGCCAAGGTTTCATCCTGGTGAATGAGTGTTTTCCAAGCAAAAAGCCAGTGTTTTGCTTATTCAGCAACCAAAGCACAGAGATGTGCCATTTTACTCGTGGCCACTTGGAAGTTATGAGTAAGTGACTCGAAGACAGTTTCCCGAGGAGGGAGCCAAGCAGGCATTTAGGCCCACTATGGGAGAGAGGTGAGACTCTCCACTTCACAGTTAGGTTGGGTCACGTCAGTGCTTGGTGAAAGAGAGTGTGCAGCATGACGGGTGAAGATGTGCCTGGGCATTGAACGAGCACTTTGTCTTTGGTGACAGTGCAGGGGGCATGTTTGGTCCATTTCTTGGGCAGTTGCTCTGGACCAGGCCTGTTACATGCATATGACATGCCTGACCCCTGTTGACCCTCATGGAGTTTTGTGAAGGAAGGTCAGTTACTTTCTCCATTTTACAAAGAAAAGAAATTGAGACCCAGAGAGATGAAGTGATTTGTCTCTAAGCACAAATGACTCCTAAGTAAATGGATTTAGGAAATAGCTTAAACAGTTAAGATGTAAAATAGATATTGTAAATATTTACAAAGACTTATTTCGGCAGCTTTGAAAAAAACATAGGGGACTTCACTCTCATTGCAGCTTCTAATTTTGGTTTCATGAAACGGAGGTACCTAAGTTCCTAAATGGCTTCATTGTTCTTCAAGAATTCCAGGGAATTCTTGATTGTAATACTTAAATATGCTATCCCCCCCCCCACCCATGCTTTCAAAGATTTAGTTGTGCTTTTTCAGATTTAAAAGTGGGAATTTATTTGACCATAATCCAGAAACAACATTTGCTCTTCATATTTTGGGGAGCAGCGACTATGTACAGCCTTGCTGAGGTGTTGGGGTTATTATCTGCATCATCATGGAGAAACTGATAACCTTTGAGAAAGAGAAATAGGGTTGTCACTCTTACTATAGAAAGGAGCAGTTGATGGGCCTCCCCGGTGGCGCAGCTGTTGATCGCTGGGTTGCGAAGCTGCCCAGCCTCTGCAGCGCCAGTTCGATCCCACATGGCGCGCAGACCTCTCCTGTCGCCTGCTGCTCTCCTCAGCATTGTACTTCGTCACTCTGCCTGCTCTGCTCTCCCCTCTGGCTCTGGTGAATTCTCTCACCCTTCTGCGCTTCTGACTGTACCCAGTGCTTGTATAAATAAATAAATAAATCTTAAAAAAAAAAAAAAAAAAGAAAGGAGCAGTTGACAGGTAGGGAGATAACATGGGACATTCATACTAGCAGTTCAAGTTCATCACTCAAGTCATCCAGTCAATATACAGATGGTCTGGTGCCAGCAGAGGGCTTAGAACTGGGGATACTAAGATGTCAACTTTGCCCTCAAGTGGTGGGTGATCTAAAAGTTTCAAGGGAGCTGACAAGCCTGCATCATTAGAGACTAGCTTGTCTTAACAAATTCAGATGATGTGTTCAGGTTTGAAGGCTTAGGAACCTTGGACCGAGGAAGGTGTGGAATGTAGACTCACTGTGGGAGTCTTTTTCACGTAACAGCAGCCACTTGTTATTAGTGCTCCTACTATTACAAGCCCTAAACATGCTATTTAATGCTCCATTCACCTAACTGTTATTATTGACCCTATCTTAGGCAGCTAAGTATTTGTCCAAGGTCACTAGAGCAATAAGTGGTGGACTTGGGAATCAGTCCCATTTCTGTGGGGTCCCCGTGCATGCCAGTCAGACTTCACTGTATGTGTCTTCTTCCTTTCCACGTTCCTTCTAATTTTTATCCATATTCTTTTGGGCATCTTCTTTCCACACTGGTGACTGGATGTCTTTAATCTTTCATTAATGCCTTTCGTTTTAATTTTCGGCTCATGGCTCTCACACATAGGGCCTCTGTGGCCGGGGTTTGAAGTCTCATCATCCTCATCAGCTCCCAGCCTTGTGGAATGCAATTGCGTTACTTCTCTTAATTTTGAAA